CTCTAAAATTTTCATTTTCATAGCCAGCACAGTCGACATCCTCAATTAGCGGAGAGCCTTCAGAAGCACTCTGAAAAGGGCACTCATTTGAAAGAAGCTGTCCAACCCTTGCTTCCATTTCACTCAGTGACAAGTCAACTTGATTTTTTTCACACTGCTGAACCCTAAAGGGATCCCAGTAGGTGCCAGGAAGATGCACAGCACTCTAAAAAACTGCAGGACTACAGATTTCGGAGTTTCCTTAAAACATCACAGGGACACAACTAAGGCAAGAAAATCCCTCTCTCTTCATGGCATCTCCATACTCTTGCTAAAACGAACACTTAAACCTATTCTGAAGACACTCCAGGAAAAGAAGGAACGTGCAGCATGTACACATTTGTTTCCCCAGCTGTGCAGGTCTGCAAAAGAGAGAGATGGTTTTGTTTTGGAGGGGAGAAACAATTATGCCAAGCTGGCAGAGTAATAGAGATGTAATAGTTTTTCTCCTATTGTCTGAAGCACTGTAGCAACCAGCGCACCACAGGGCTCTCCCCTGACCCTAAGGAACACTGCCCAATGCAATTATGCAACTCTCCAAAGGGAACTGCAGGTACCCTAAGCTCCCCATAGTGTCCCAGCTTTACCAGAGAAAGAATCCAAACACTGAGTGTTATTTTTAAACAAGTGTGGTAGCAAAACAAAGTGAGCTGCTGAAAAGATGCAGAGAAATGAGCAGAAGCTGAGCAAAACAACTCAGAAAGCAATGTTTGATTCCTCATCATTTCCCCTGCACGTGTAAGAATCCAAGTAAACTGGCTTTCAGCAGTAAAAGCAGAGTCAGGGGAGCTTGGACAAGGTGAACAATTCGACTGTCTTCACGAAGATCCAAAGCTGATTCTGAAGACTTTTGGAAGCCTGCAAGAAAACATCTTCATTACTCTGTTTACAGCTTCCTACCCACCAGTTTTTGTACTGCTTCCTTGCTCACCTTGGTATCTCCACTCGCCACCTCCTTAACTCCTATACCCAACAGTCCTGCCCCCTTTGCAGGCCATTACAATTCAAAATGAACCATTTGAGAACCATGACGACCCCACCACTGCGTAACACCTCCCTGCTCCACCCGCTCCACTGCAGAGAAATCTTAAAATATCTGTATCAGAAGAGCTGACACGGAAACAGAGCGACACATGATGTGAGGGAGCTCTGCAAAGCCGCAGGTGACAAGAAGCTGATGAACAACGATCGCTCGCTGCATCCTTCCAGAGCAAGGAGCAGAGCCACCAGGTAAAAATGAGGTCCAAAGACCCCAAGGAGAAGCCCTTCAAAACACACCTCCAGGAGCCGGGGTTAGCACACCCTGCCACGTGCCACCGCAGGCACGACAAGTTTATGCACATCCAAGAAAAGGCGGGACAAGCTCAGAAGGGAAATGCCTGAAAAAAGCTTCCAAAAAACTCAGCCTGTCTCCGAGCTGCGATTCTCCCAGGCTGAAGCACATACAGGGGTACATCGCCGTACACTTGCCCCATTCCACTTCAGGCCATGTTTTCTGTCCAATTAACAAGAAAAGTACCCCATCCACACAACTCCTGGCCGACGAGGTTTAGATGTTTCTAATCTCATTGATGTTGTGCATGATGCAGCCAGTCTGGAAAAGGCCAAAAAAAATAAACTTCCGTCTTACTGTCGAGCATAATCAATGCATCAGTCTTGGCCACGTTGCCATCAAGTAGCATCAGAACAGCCTGCTCAGTCCAATGTTTGTTAGCCTTGGAATCAAAAACCATCCTGCTGTTCTGCCTCCTTCACAGCCCATTCGGCAGCAAGAGGGAACAGGCTAATAGCGTGGAGACCAAGCCTGCTCCTGGGTATGCAAACAATTTCCAACAGGGTCTGGAGCCTCTTGAAAAGAGGATGCCTGCTCTTCTCAGGGCTGTGGATGCTTCCCAGGACGGATGCTTGGATAGAAGACCCTTCAGCAAGCCCAGCACAGCCACTCATGCTCTCTGTCTGCAAAGACAGCTTTCAATTACAGCATCACCACTCGAGGACATTGCCACCCGCGACCACTCGGCATTACGCCACACAGCTCCCCGCACCTACAGCCACACATCCCCACCCTTCTGAGGAGCCCAACAAGAGCAGAGCTGAGCTACCATCACGTCCAGCTCTTAGGGTACTTGCACTAACCAGGTTACTGCCAAAGCCGACAATTTGTAACACGCCGTATTAAAGACCACAAGTTTCAGGGTTCAAAATAAGATATTGCAGACCATTCCTCAAGGCATCACCAGCCACTGTTCAAGAACTCTATTTAGGGCGTGCTCCTACTCTAGCCACTCTTTATACCTGCCCTGGTCCGAAACCAGATTGCAGAAATACTTACCTGTTAATCGTGCACTATTTCAGGCACCTAGCATCAAAGTACATCACCTGCCCTCACCTGCTGAAGCAATACGGTGCCTCTCGATTTAAATTCATTGTTGCTTTGCAACTCAATTCCAGCACAAAATATCTTCTGCTGTTAGGCTGCTGTGGGAGAGCTGAGCGCAGAAGGGGTCTGGGCGGTTTTATTTTAAGCCCTCTGTTTCTGAAATAACCACAGTACTTCATGAATCATCAGGATATCCCAACTGTAATATCATAGAGGCAAGTTTCACTAAAATCTATATAATCCGTAAGTGGGATGTCACGGCATGACACACTCTATTCTATCTTCACCACCCAGAGTTCCAGATGGATTTCAGAGCAATTAAGCAACGATTCACTTTGGGGCCATTTTTTTTTCTTTAGCTTCATTTATTTTCCACTTATTTCTGGCTGAACATTGCCCCTCCCTATCTAGCAAGCCTAGTTCTCAGGACAGGAGCAAGCATACTTAAATACTAATTAAGCTCCAAATTATCAAGCGCAGAACTGACACCCTCAACATTCAAACTAGCCCAGAACAAGTGTGCTTCAAACAGAAAAAGAGAAAAAAGGGAAATCTGAAGGGAAAACTTCCAGGTGCACAAGCACATATGAGAAAAGTGATAGCCTGAGATTGCTTGGAGGGAGGCTCCCTTTGCCAAGCACCGCTTCTGAGCACACTGACAAGCCCTCCCCCATCCCCAATTAAAACAGGTCCTGCCCTCAAGTGAAAGACTCCTGCGTTTGCTGTTTGTACACCTGAGCAAACCCGAAGGTACCCCCTGAAGCAGGGATTGTGAGTGACATGCAGCAGTTCTGTTACGAAGGAGCTGCCCCAAGAAGCCGCTGAATGTCAATCAGCCACGTCCATTCTGCATTACCCAGGTGGGGACAATTCCCAGCTCTTCAGCAAGCTCCGAGCTGCAAATTCTGAAATGGCAGCTTGGCCTTAAGCATTTATGGACAGACAGGTTTCCTCCTGCCCAGATGTCATTTTCAGTACAGCTCTTTCAGAATCCCAGGTTTGCTTTGTAGTGGTGGATTACCTTCCAAAATACAGGGCTTCAGCAACAACTCAATACTGTGTATTTTTAAAACCAAATTTCTGCCACATTTCCCTTCTCAAATCATTGCTCTCTCCCTTCCATTCTCACTGCTCTCACAAATCCCTTTTTCTGTTGACAAAACATTCCTCCTTTCCTCCATAACCCACAGAAACAAGGACTGCTTCCGAGTGAAACCCAGGGGTCCGTTTGTCCCTGCTGCACCTCTCTCTGCCAACACACCTCTGTCCCACCTACCCTTCAGGGGAAAACACAGCCGGACACCAGACCCTGTCCTCTGATGTGGCAAGCGTAGGAAGGAACACTAAATCAATCTGAAGGTTCACAGAGGTTTGATGCAACACCGACCAGCCCAGCTGAGGAGCAGTCACCTCCACGCATGGCCATGCAGCCAGGAACACGTGAAGGACCAGCGCACAGGGCCCACGGGTGGGATCTGGCACACCACAGGCCTGGCGATGCCAGCTCCGTCTGGGGGCTGGTGCTGGGGGCTGCAGCGGCGCGGAGCCAGGCCTGGCCACCGCAGCACCCCGGAGAACACGTCCCTGAGCTCGCAGCTCCAACAAGACAAACATGGGGAGCGGTTACCCGACCCCGTATTTGCTTTCCAGAAAGAGGATCCCTGTAAACCCCCCTCAAGACACATCGCTCCCCAAAAGGTGCCCCGGATGCTCCACAGCAACCCCAACCCGCCCCCCAGCAGGGCCCACGATCCCTGAGCAGCCCCCTAGGGCCCCCAGCACAGGCTGCAGCTCAGAGGAAGCCCCCACCCCAAAACCCACGGCCTGGCCGGGCCTCGTGGGGCCTGGGTGTCCCCCTCCAGAGCCTATTACCCTCCCCCAAAACCCTTCTAGGTCACCCGGGCCCCCTCCAGGGCCTACCTGTGTCGTTTCGTGTCCCATCCCCCCAGCAAACCCTGCTGGGTCACCTGGGTCCCCTCCAGAGCCTATTACCCACCCCCTAACCCTGCTCTGTCACCTTCCTCCCCCCCATTTTATATTATACCCCCCAATATGCTTCGGGAACACCTGGGTCCCCCTCCAGGGCTTACTACCCCCCCCCCAAAAAAAAAACCAACCCTACTGGGTCACCTGGGTCCCCCAAATGGCCTGCCTGTGTCCCCCAAACCCCTCTGGGTCACCTGGGTCCCCTCCAGAACCTATTATCCCTTCCCCAAAAACCCTGCTGGGACACCTGGGGCACCCTCTGTGGCTACGCGCCCCCCTCCCCGGGGCACACATCCCTCCCTCCCCCCCCCCCCCCCCCACGGCCGGGCCCCCCGGCGCTGCCCCCCCACCTGTGTGCGGGGATGCGCTGCGAGCCGCGGCCCTTCCCCACCAGGAAGTGGACGTCGCTCAGCACCTCGTTGTTGAAGAGGAAGGCGAAGCGCTCCTGCACCGTCGGCTTGGTCGCCTGCCAGTTGTACACCGGCTCCCGCTGCAGCGCCCCGCCGGGGCCGCCCGCCCCCCCGGCTCCCCCGGCTCCCCCCACCGCAGCCGCCGCCGCCGCGGCCGCAGCCACCGGAGCCGCCGCCGCCGCCACCGCCGGGCCCCCCGCGCCGCCTCCGCCGCCCGCCGCCGGGTTGGCGGCGCCGCACTGGTTGTAGGTGAGGCCGGGCGGCGACGCCGGGGGGGCGCCGTTGGTGCAAGCGGCGGCGGCGGCGCCGTTGCCCGGCGGCGGCGGCGGCGGCTGCGGGCAGGAGGAGGAGAGGCCCCCGGGGCCCCCGCCGCTCCCACCGGCCGCCATTTTGTGCGGCGGAGGCGCAGCAGCGGGCGGCGCGGGGCGGCGCTGCAGCAGCACCAGCACCAGCAGCGGCGGGCGGGACACGGCGGCGGGCGGGAGGGGGGCGGCGATGGTGATGGCGGCGGCGGTGGCGGGAGGGGGGCGGGAGGGGGCGGCGGTGGCGGTGGGGCCGGGGGTGCCGCGGCTGCTGCTGCTGATGCAGAGAGCCGGGCAGCAGCGGCGCATGGATGGGGCACGGCGCCGCCGCCGGCCGGGCCACCGGGGGTGCGGGGGGGGGAGCGGAGGCGGCGGCGTGGGGCGGGGAGAGGAGGGGAGGGGAGGGGAAGGGAGGGGAGGGGCCCGGGAGGGGGCTGGCGCTGAGGGGTGGGAGGGGAGGTGTGAGGGGGCCGGGGGCAGTGCTGGGGGGAGGGGGTAGTGCTGAGGGGGTGAGGGGGGGTTCTGAGGGGTCAGAAGGCAGATCTGGAGCGGGGGGGCAGTTCTGAGGGGTAGGGGGCAGCTCTGAGGGGTCATGGGGCATTTCTAGAGCGGGGGGCAGTTCTGAGGGGCCAGGGGGTGGTTCTGGAGTGAGGGAGCGGTTCTGAGGGGTGTGATCCCCCCGGGGGGATTTCTGGGTGTGTGAAGGGCTGGGCGGTCTCCAGCAGGGGATGAGGAATGGGGGCAGCCCCACGAGGGGGCAGTTCATGGAAAAGAAGGGTGTGGGGCTGAAGGAAGAGGCCCTGGGGGCGAGGGGGGGTTTGGGATACGCGGCAGGGGAAGTCAGGTGCAGTGAGGGGCTGCACAGAGGGGGTACAGAGAGGGCTGGGGGGCCATCTCCGTGCTCTTTCTACCAGGGCTCCCCACATCCCGAGGACACCGCTGATAAACCCAGGATAATCAGCCCGGAGGAACAGGGCCACTGCTGGCACCATGGCTGCTCCCCCAGCACTGCAGGCATTGTCCTGCTTGGACAAGCAGCTTCTCTGCGACCGATCCCACCGCCTGGTCCCTCGTGTCTTGGTGTGCGACTGCTGTGACACCACGGCAATCCTGATCCCGCAGGGTCAGAGCTGCCTTTCCATGCCAGGCAGAGGCCAAAAGCACGATGGCTGGCACCTTCCTGGCCAGGAAGGGTCCTTATTTTGCATCTGGGGTTCAAGAGGCAGCTCACTGCATCCTAGAGTGCCCTGGAAGGCCTCTAGGGCATCCTAGAGGAAATTGGAGGTCACTGGGAGGCTTTCCGGGGGAGCTAGAGGGCACTTGGTGGCCCTGATAGACCTGTGGGGGACCTAGAGGGCAGCGGAGGACCACAGGAGGCCTCCAGTGTGCTTCGGGGTGCACTAGAGAGCCCTGCGAGGCCTTCAGAAGCCACTATATTCCAGAAAGAGTCTTATTTTGCCTCTAGGGTGCAAGAGATGTCTCGTATGGCACCCTGAACTGCTCTAGGCCTGCTGCTGACCCACTAAGGGGCAACAGCAGGCTCATAGGACACTGTAGAATGCCCTGGAAGGCATCCTAGAGGAAAAAGGGGTCACTGTGAGGCTGGATGCCCTGTGAGCCCCCTCTTGCACCCTAGAGGCATAATAAGCACTCTTACGGGAATCTAGAGGCCCCCAGAAGCCTCGCAGGACTCTAGGGCACTCTCAGGCACATCGGAGGCCTCCTGTGGTCCTCCCCTGCACTCTAGATGCGGTGTAGTTCTACCTGGGTCACTCAGTGCCCTCTAGCTCCCAAGTAAAACTTCTCAGTGACCTCCAGTTTCCTCTAGGTTGCCCTAGAGGTCTCCCAGGCCACTGTAGGATGCCCTAGGAGCAACTTCTTGAATCCAAGAGGCAAAATAAAGACTCTGCCTAAGATCTAGAAGCCTCTAGGGTGTCCTACAAGCCCGCTGTTGAACACTCGAGGCAAAGTACACATCCAGGTATCTAGTGGTCTAACACCAATTATGACACATACGTTACCAGTTTCTCCCATCAAAAAGTGCTCCCAACAGAAGCTTTTGGGTACACCTGAACTCTCTTTGAGATCCTTTATGCAACCCCACACACAACACGTCTCTGCACCTTCTCTCTTTCCGCACAACCCTAACCAGAACGCTGAGCCCAACCCTAATTAGGACCCTAAAAAACATGCATGGCACCACTTTCTCCCATCAAAAAGTTCTCCCAACGGAAGCCTTTGGGTAGACTTGTGCTCCCTTTGGGAGCCTTTATGCAACCCTTCAGTGCCTCGAGGTGTGTGTGCATGTCAGAGCAAATGCATGGTCCTTGATTCAACATGCTTGGGAAGGCAGTGTGCTGTCTTCCCCTTCTGTTTTGCGTGCCTTTGCCATACCATTTTTGTTACTGCACAAAGACATGCTCATTGCATTGCTTCAAAGCTTTGAGACCCTTGTATAGCTGAGGGACCTCCCAGATTAATCTCTGTGGCCAGTGCCACGGCACATCACTGCGGTATTGTTACATCACTAGTTGGGACTGAGAGCTTCCGACCTGGTTCTGTATCACATTATCGAATACCTATTTCTGCTGCATAACCTACCAGCGGGCTTGTGCTGCATTTTTTTTAAAGCTGTGTTACACTAAATGGGGAATCTCCCCTAACCACAGCTATGCTGGGGTTCAGAGCTGGGTGTCATAATTGTCCCTTCTGGCATCTAATCTGTGCATGCAGGAATGCGTAGGAAACTTTAGAGGGACGTTGCTTTTTCTTGTGAAATATTTCTAGTATTACTGATAACTGAGCATTGCATACAGACTCTTTCAAAAACACCGCGTCGGTTTTGATTTCACACCATTTGCTCAGCACGTCACAGACTCACACCCCCTTGATGGCCGAGCTGCTTCCATGCAGTTCAGTGTTGCCTTTTTTTTTTTTTTTTTTTTATTCACAAATACAACGTCTGGATGCCTGGATGGTGCCTGCGCGAAGCCTGCTGGTTCCCGTTCCATCCTGTTTGGGTTTCCTCTGCCTTGTACAGGCCATAAACATTAGAGGGAGCTGCAGACTGCTGCATGTCCCCGTGCGCAGCTGGAAGGTTGGACACTTCATGGTTGCATGGAGCCTCATCCAGGGCAGGTGGCACCAGCTGGTCCCCTGCCCACCATGCTGGCCATGCCGCAGCTAATTAGAGCTTATGTGTTTGGCACGTGATTAAATGAATGAAAAATGATTCATTTTGTGGTGGTAGCTTGAGGCTCAAATCCAGGCCAATGGAAAGAAAGCTATGACAGAAATAAGAAGGGATCATGTGGACAGCACAAAAGTGTGCTCAGGATGCTGTCACCTGGGCAGGGGTGCAGGAAGGCACCACGGGATGGGGCGAGGTGTTCGCTAGTCACCAAAGCAGCAGCAATCAGCAGCATTATTAGACAAAGAAATACAGTCAAAAATAGTGCCATCTGGGAGAATTTAACTTCCCAGAAATAAAGCTGAGAATGAACGCTCCTAAAAATGGCAAAGCACCGTTATTTCTGGATCTGATAGCCAACAGATTTCTTCACAAATCAGGCACTCAGCAAAAGGCGGTACTATTTTAGACTGGGTTTTTAGGAAGTAATTGTAATGCAACAAAAAGGCTAACCACGGTAGTGATTCTTGGTGGAGGAATCAGTGAAACTCAGCTGATGCTGGAGGAAGGCTGGCCAAATAGAGACCTGGAAATAGGGGTCTGTCGCACAAGGGCCAGCTACAAGCAGCTGAAAGCCCATGGTAGTGGAATCGGTGGGGCTGGAGCACTTGGCGGTCAGGGACAGAGAACACCCATTGAGTCTGTACATTGTAGAGGCAAAAAAAACACTTATATTTGCAATAAGCATTCCAAGCAAAAGACTGGCATAGCCAGAGAGGGCTGGCCAAACAGCTCGGTCAGACTGTGACAGGCTTTCAGGAGCACTGGAGAGGAGACCACGCGGCAAGACAAACCGCAGCGTGGGTGTTAGCAAGAGCAGGGCTAAAATGAGACTTGCTAAACCCCATGCTTGAGCAATGAGCGCTTATTTAAGCCTCTGGCCAGGTGAGCAGATGCGTCACCAGCCTGGTGGTGTGCTCTGGCCATGGCAGCAGTGGCTCTCCCACATTCAGGGAGCTTAGGCTGCTCTGCACTGTCCCACCGAGGGCTACATGATCCATCCAGTGCACTGGGTGCTGTCGGGGAGAACCTGCATGCCCACGGCACAGCTACAAACCAGCCACTAAAATGGTACATTCTACCACAAAAAAAAAAAAAAAAAAAAAAAAAAAAAAAAAAAAATCTCTAATTGGTTTGTTTTGTTTGCCTGGACAGGTGCCGTAATCCACTGCAAAACACACAGGAGTTCTTTCCTTCCCTGCCTGCCCTGTAAACCATTTTAAAAGCAGAAAAAGGAAAATTATTTTTTTTTTGTCCAGTGCAAATCCTTCATTCCTCCCTCTCTGCACACTCAGGGTGGTTCTGGGGCTGGTGACCACCAAGGAGCCCATGTTCCTTACAAAAGACTTTGTCCAAGCAGGACAAGGTGTGGGTTGTCCACCGACACCAGCACAGCCATGCTTCGTCCCCCAAAAAACACTGACACCACTTGCAGTGTGGTGAGCCGACAAAACACCAACACCACTTCCAGCGACACGAGCTACTGCACCCCACAAGGCCACAGGCCCTGCCGTGTCACCTGGGTGCCACCAAGACAGCCAACGCTATCGCCTTTCCCCCCGTGAGATGTTTGTCACCGCGAAGCATCGCGGCCACGTTAACAGCTCCCTCCTCTCAGCGTGAGCAACTATTTTGGGCCGATGCTGCAGCACCCAAGCAGCGCAGGTTATTTCAGCTCAGGGCATGGCTATTTTCAGCACTGCCCTTCCCTGCGTGTGCTTTGCCCCAGCGTCCAACCGCAGGGTGCTTTTTGGGGGCGGTGGAGAGGAACGGGGACGTCATGGGGGGGAACGGTTTGCCAAGGTTAATGCCCAAAGCAGAAACCTTTGCCCCCATCCACCTGGATCCACCCAGCCTCTTAGGGGAGAAACCATGAAAAAAGGGAGTGTTTCTGGAGCAGAAAGCTGACAGTCCGATGCCAGGAGAGACAACACAAGAGGGGAAGGAGAGTGATGGGGCTGGGAGAAGCATGAACAAGGTGGGAAGAGGAGGGCAGAGGGCTGGATGCTGCAGAAACACCCAGGGTCACAGTGCAATGGCTCCAGAAAAACAGCTCAGCGGGATGAATGGGGCACCCCCTGCTCATCCCCATCCTCTGGGGCCTTCAGCTCTGGTGCCACCCAAGCACCCCAGGAGAGGACACACAGCCCAGCCGTGCTGGACAGACCCCCATAGCACAGGAAGCAGGTGAACCATTTGTCAAGCAGCAAGCATGGATTCCTCCAGAGACAGCAGCATCACTGAGGTTGTCCCCACAAGCCCCAGGGAGGACACCACCAGAGGGTGACACCAACCAGGCACTTTCTTCTGGCCGGTTTCCCCCTCCCACCACCCCACAGAGGAAGGCAGGCCTGTCTGGGAACACAGCGATCACAAAACAGAGCTGGGAGAAGTGACCCAGCTCTCCGGTAGGTCTCAATGCATTTTTATTAAATTCTTACAAAACAGAATACAAAATTCTGGCATCAACAATTGTTATAAAGGAAAACTTCAATTCAGCTGTATCAGTTCACCTGGTACATACAGTAAAGTGCTTGTTTTTTGTTTTTTATCCTTTTTAATTTTTTTTGTTTGTTTTCATTTTTATTTTCCAGCCAGCCCCCGAGCAGAGGCTGCCTGTGTACAAACCAACAGTGCGTTAACGTGACTCTTGTCGAACCAGCTTTGGCAGTCTTCATCAATTGTAAAGTGGAGAAAGTTTCTCCTATTCCGATAAAAAAAAAAAGTTAGCTTCACAGTAAAAGTTTCTAACCAGTCCTAAGTCGAGTTAGTTGGCTGAAAGGGGAGGGGGCGAAGGGAGGAGGAGGGAGAGCCAAAACGCTTAAAGTTTCCAGCTTTAAAAAAAAAAAAAAGTTGGTTTCCGTGACAGATGCTCTATGGGGGAGGCTTTGCACGAGCAGGGGGGGACCAAAGGGCTTTGGGGAACCGGGCAAGGAGCACAGCACAGGGAAGCATCTGCCTGGCACAAGCATCATGCCCAGCACCCATGGGTGCCCTGCTGCTGCCACCGAGCACCCACAGAGCTGGAGGTGCTCCAGAGGCATCCCCCCAGGCCTAGAGGCATCAAACATCCTTACAGACCCAGAGACCCTGCCACATGCTGCAACCACGCCACCAAACCGAACCCCGAGCCAAAACGCGCCGGCAAGCCTTCAGAAGAGTGCATGTACGTAAAAATACAGGTCTTGCACGTGGGAAGAAGGGGAAATGCTGTTTGCTAACAAAAGCACGGGGGGACAAAAATTTCAGAGCCATCCCCCACCATCCCCATCCCACGATTTTTTTTAAAAAAGACTGCAGCGTGCAGCATTAACAATAGCTTTCACAATACCAGCTCAAGGCATCGCGTACTGTACATCATTCAAGTATTTCTTAATATAAGACAACAAGGAATTATCTACAACTGATAAAACAAAATAAGCTATAAAAAGTAATGTACAATCAAGATGGATTTTTTTTTTTTTCCTTTAAAGGAGGCCTCTCCGGAGGGGTTCCCACCTGAGCGGTGGGACCGGGCAGCCGGGGGAGAGGGCGGATCAGGGGGCACGGTGGTTTTGGAGAAGGGGGCGGGCTGCTGCCCCTGGCCCACTGATGCTGCTCAGCAGAAGGGCCAGGGTGGGTGAGAAAAGCCAGTCCCTGCCCCAAATGCCACCGCCACCTCGATCGTCTCCCAAGATAACTCACACACACCTCCCTGAAACAAAAAACAACACGTATTGCATAGTATTGCTGTCAGCAGTCTTAAAACAAAAAGGATAACTTCCCCCTCACCCCCAGAGACAGCGACTGTCTTCAGCTGAAGACCCGGGAAAATCTCTTCCCTGGCTCAAAGCGAGCTCCCACAACCTTCACTGTGCACACGATGGGTCGAGGTTGCTTTTTTACAATACAAAGCTCCAAGCATTGAGTTAGAGGGGGGAGACTGCAAACAATCGGGGCACCCTCCCTTCCTGTGCTCAGAGGGGAAGGGATGGGGGGGGGGGGATACAGGGATGGCCACTGGCTGCAGGAGCTGGCTCTGAACCCGCACATGGGCTTTTTGATCCAGCATCTCCCAGACCTCGCCCTGCCTGCACCCCTGCCTTCCCACAGCAGGGTCCGAGGGAGGCCCAGACGTGCGCCATGACCACCACTGCACGCAGCCAGTTCTCTCCAGTTGCCCTGGAGACCCCACACCATTGTCACCCTGACCCCAAACCCTCTGGCAACCCTTTAGTGCTGCCGCCACCCCCAGGGCACCCCCTTCTGCCACCGCAGCCTCAGGGCCCGCCCGAAGCCAGGCTGGGTTGTGCTGCCCTGCAGCAGGTCCCTACATAAGGGGGGTTCCTGTTTGTATCCATGGAGCACCCTGTTATTCCCAAAGGGTTGTTTTCCTTTGGTTTTCCAGCTGCTCTGAAACCAGGGGTGCACAAACCCCCCCGGTGCAGGAGTACCACATCAGGGCCATTCTGAGCATCTCCCCACGCTCTGACCTTACCCCCAGGAGCCGCTTGCTGGAGCGAGGGTGGAAAGGAAGACATTTCTCCGTGCCCTGTAGAGAAGCACAGCTAGCAGTTTAAAACCAACAATAACAATTAAAAATTAAAAATTAAAAGGATAAAGTGAGTGAATAGCTTATTCTGGAAGCTGGCTGCCGGGGGGAGAGGGAGTAGGTTTGCAAGCTGGGGTTTCAGGCAGCAGGACGGGATGGGATGCTGCTCCCGCACCAGCACCGTCCCCTCTGGCCACCACAGTTCCCTGCACCATGCCAGCGTGTCCCCGAAAGCGCAGCTGGGACAGGATGGGGCCCCCCTGCGTGCCCCCTCCCCAACATCAGGGGTAACCTGCAGCTCCAGAGGGAGCTGAGGTTAAAGTGCTGCTACTGTTGTTGGAAATGCGACCGAGGGGCTTTTGTTCACAGTATGAAATGAGCTGAAATAGTCAAAGCAGCTGCGGATAAAAAGAGTCCTTTGGTGTTGGGGCGGGGGGGGGGGGAGGGGGTGGGAAATGTCAGGGGAGAAACCAAGAGTCGAGAAACAAAAGTCCGTGTGTCTGTCAGATGTCCTTGAGTGTGCCCTGGGTGAAGCAACCTCACGCTTGATTTAATACCTTTAAAAAAAAAAAAAAAATCTTAAACAAACCCTCCCAGCCCCAGCCCTACAAGATCAGCAAAACCTTGGAAACCAGCCAACAGGACGAGTCCTGATCTTGTCACCAGCTAGAAACAGTGTTGGTTTTTGGGGAGGGGGGCTGGAAGGGGGGTGGGGAGAGAAGAGGAGGAGAGGCTGGGAAGGGCATGGACGCGGGGGAATGGCGCAGGGCTCAAGCCTGGTCGGCCACCAGGACCAGCGGGGCCACCAGGTGCTGCCCCGCGGCCACTGCCTTGGCCAGGCTGCTCTTCTGCCGCCGCTTGGCCAGCTTGGACTCGGAGGGGGGCGAGAGCTGCATGGCCCATGAGGTAGCTTTGATGATGATGGGTCGCGCCTCCTCCTCCTCCTCTTCGTCCTCGTCACGCTGTGTCAGCTGGCGGTTGACAGCGATGGCCTCAGCAGCAAAGGAGGTGAGCTCTTTGGCACTGCTGTTCCTAAGGGGGAGAGCGGGGGTTTAGGGGTGCAGGCAGAATGGGCTGAACCCATGTTTTGGGGTCTTTCACCCCACGTGCACATGGCACTGGGCCGGACAGTGACTCAAACCCAAATCACACATTGCAACCACTGCCCAGGACACAAGAGCTGTGGCAGAACCCCTCAAAAAGCAGCATGAGCCAGGAGCCTACAATTCTATGGGCATTGGTTTTAAATTAAAAGTTGATTTAAATCCAATATTAGGAGGAAATTCTTCCCCCTGAGGGCGGTGAGGCCCTGGCTGAGGCTGCCCCATCCCTGGCAGTGCCCAAGGCCAGGCTGGATGGGGCTGGGGGCAGCCTGGGCTGCTGGGATCGTGCCTGTGGCAGGTGTGGGACAGGGTGGACTTTGAGGTCCCTCCCAACCCAAATCATAGTTCTGTGATTCCAGGCCCCCCCCAGCACACGCACACCCCCGCTCACCTCTGCAGGATGATGGGGGTCGGCAGGGTGTTATCCGGGGCACACTGCAACGAGATGGAGCCGCTCAGAGCTGGGTATCCTGCAGCCCCCCCCCAGCTTTTGGGGGTGCTGCACTGAGGTGTGTGTGTGGGGGGGGGGGGGGGGGGAACAGGCAGCACTCACCCCCTGCACCCAAGGGTGCTCCAGGACCTGGGCCGCACTGAGCCGCTTCTTCGCATCCCTCACCAGCAGCTTGGAAATGAGGTCTTTGGCTCCAAAGGAGATGTGCGCCCAGTCCTTGTCGGGAAACTCGTACTTGCCTTCCTGGATGCTCTCAAACAGCATGTTCTGGGGGAAGGGGGCAGAAATAAAGGAAAAAAACATCCAGACAAGCTGGGGCGGGGGGGGGGGGGGAGGGGGGAGGGGGCTGTGGAGTGGGTTTGGGGGAGTTTGGGCGCACCTGGCAGGTGTGGCAGGCCTCGCCGCGGTCCCAGCCGCAGTCAGAGCCACAGTGGCCCACGAAGGGGGGGTACCCGCTGAGCATGATGTACAGGATGACGCCCAGGCTCCACAGGTCGCAGCGCTTGTCGTAGATGGACGCCTCCTCGTTAAAGGCTTCCACCACCTCCGGGGCCATGTACTCGGCTGAGCCGCACTGCGGGGATAAACACGGGGTCCCCAAATCAGGTCCCCAAATCCCCTGCGTGGGGGAATGCTGCGGAACTGCCCCTCCCTCATGGGGCAGGTTGTCACCAAAGGGTCACCCCAAAGAACAAGCCCCAAGGGACACAGCCCCCTCCCAGCACCCCAGTCTCTGAGAACAATCCCGCTCCTCCTCCTCCGCCGCGGCAGGAGTTAACAGCTGATGCCAGCAGGGACGCCTCCGAGGCCCCGCGTCCCTTTTTGCCGTCCCCTCCCCGGGACTCTGGGGCTTTCCAGCGCACGTGACCGCGCCGGGCCTTGTGACGAGGGCAGAGAAAAGCTGCAGGCAGCAGATAATCGCCCCGGCCGCGCCAGCAGCTGATGCCGCAGCAGAAAAACACGCGCCGCCCTCCCTCCGGCACGCTGCTGCTGCGCAGCCTTAACCCTGCCGGGCCCGGGGCAGCCACACCCGCAGCGTCCCCCCCCCGGGGCTGAGAACAGGCAACTCGTGACACCCAGGAAATTCTGGTGCTGCCCTGGGAAGAGGGATAAGGCAGGAGGGAGAGGGGCTGGGAGAGGTGAGGGGAGCATTTGGGTGCTTTATGCCCCCCCCCCCACCCCACACACACACACTGCTGCTGCATTGCATCAGCTGGGCTCTGCCGTCCCCTGCCCCGTGCCAATAAAACACCGGTGCCAAAAAAACACCGGTGACGCCCTGCGTGGGGCCTCGCTGCTGTGATAAGGGCAGCAGGGCTTCCCTCACCCCAGGGGGGGCACCAGCTTTGGAGGGGGGGGGGGGTGTCCTCATAACACACCGCCCCCCCCCAGTTTTTTAGGGTGCCCCCATTGCACCCAAGCAGCCTCCTGCAGCAGGGAGCCCCCAGTATAAGACCTAGACGAGGCGGGGGGAGGATATCACAGCAGCCTCCCCCCAGCCTCCACCCCTCCCCGCCAGCCTCCGCGGCCGCCTCCGCCGGGGCTGGCTGTTGCTAAGGCTCGCGGCAGCCCGGGCTGCGTGCCAGCCCCCCCGCGCCGTGCAGGGCCCCCCCCTTGTGAACGCATTACGCAAGCCCGGCCTCGCCTGCCAGCATCAGCCCAGCGAGAAGCGGGGGGGCGGGGGGGGGGTTGAGGCCGCGGTTACCCCCCAAGATTGCGCTCCCCACATTCGGTGCGGTGTCGGGGTAACGCTGCTCCCCGCAACCCCAACAGAAAGCAAAAGGGGTGGGGAGCACAACAGCTGCTGAGAGCAGCCCCGGCCCCATAACGTGGGGGCAAGGGGGGGGTGTGTAGAGGGCATGGCGGGGGGGCTCAGGGCACCCAGGGGTGCAGGCTCATGGCCTTACCGGGGTGAGCAGCTCGGGGGTGGAGATGGGGGAGCAGTCACCGTTCAGCTTGATGCCGCTCCCCAGGTCGAAGTCGCAGATCTTCACCGGGGACACCTGGGGGGGACAGGCAGCTGGTGACCCCTGGGGATGGGGATGAGACACCCCCCCCGGCCACTACCCCCAGCTGGCTGCTCCCTGCTCACCTGGTCTGGGCTCTCACACAGAATATTTTCGGGTTTTAAATCCCTGTGTGCTATTCCTAGGGGGAGAGGAGACAAAATGGAGTCAACGAGGGGCCAAAATCACCCCAATCCCACTGTGGGGAGGGGCTCAGGTGCAACCACAGAGAGCCCCCCCCTCGTCCCTCCCCACCCCAAATCACTGCCTGTGTCATGGGGAAGGGCAGAAATTGCTGCTGGCCTCGAGTCAGCCTGACTGGAGGAACAGGTTCGGCACCACCAAACACCTCGTGATGGAGCTGGGCCTGACCCCGTGCTGTGACGGGGCGTCTCCAGGGCAGGGGGACATGGGGAGGTGCCCAGGTTCCCCCAACCCCACAAGGGTGAGGGCTGCAGGCCTGAGCTGACCTTTGTTGTGCAGAAAGTGAAGGGCGCTGGCGATATCCTGCACCACCACGCTGGCCTCCAGCTCATTGAAGTGGCGCCTCCGATGGATGTGGGTCAGGATGGAGCCTGCGGTGGGCGAGAGCAGAGTGGGGGCTCGGGGGTCGGCTCCATGCCACCTTTCCTGTGCCCCTCGGGGAGCCCCCAACGCTGTGCTCACCTCCTCTCATTTTCTCAAACACCAAGTAAAACCTCTCCTCCTCCTCAAAGAACTCAATCAGCTCCAGGACGTTCCTGCAGGGACAGCAGGATCAGCCCACAGTGCCACCCCCAAAACAGTTGGGGTCCCCCCCTGCCGCCACGAGCCCACCAACCCACTGCCAGCATCAGTCCCCCCAGGGGGCCACGCAGGACAGGCGCCAGCGGGGAACTGCATTGCAAGTGATTGAATCCAAACAGCCGAGGACCCCCCAGCCACATTCTGGGGATTTGGGATTGGGGGGAGGCTGATTTTGGGCACCGCATTCAGCCCTAATTGCTCGCAGACCTCTCCCGGCCGCACACCCCTCGGCACGGGTCCAACCTGGCCCCCCGTTGCCATGGTGAAACATTTTTCGTGGCCCTGAGATGCTCGGGGCGAGGCCGAAGGGAGGGAGGGGAGGCCAGCAGAGGCCGAGGGGAGGCGAGCAGAGGCCCGAGGCTGGCCCCGCAGTACCTGTGTCCCTGGCACTGGTAGAGCATCTCCACCTCCCGGAAGACCCTGCTGCGGATGTGGCCCAGGCGCTTCTCGATGATCTGAAATGCGGAGAGGGGGTGGGGGGGGGCTCAGCGAGGGACCCCACGGACAGGGCAGAGGGCTCAGGGGGATCCCCAGGATGGGGACTGGGGGGTGTGGGGCCGGGCTAACGGAGGCTGGGGGTGCCCGAAGGGGTTAAGGCAGCAGAACAGGCCGTTCCCGCAGCGCTGCCAAGTTGTTCCCTCCCACGGGGCCGCAGCCAAGGGCCCTGCACCGCCGCCAGCCCTGGTGCGGGCAGACAAGGGCTCGCATCCCTGCCACTGGCCAGGCAGAGATCCCGACACCACACACCCTCTGCGCTGCCTCAGTTTCCCCAGTGCATAATTACATGGGGCAGCCAAGTTCCTGCTGCATTTCGACTCTAACCCTCAAAACCTGACAGCACTTTTTGGCCACGGGGCTACCCCTTGGCTTGGGGCTGCGAACTGCAGCAGCTGCTGCTCCCCCAAAACACGCTCCCCCCGAGGTCACAGCCTCCGGACCCCCCCCACAGGGCCTCCACCTCAGCCCCCATGGCCACAGTCCCGTGGGGAGGACACGCATGGGCCTGGAGCTCAGCAGCCGTGCAGCACCAGACCCCTCCTCACTGCACGTCGCAGGCCGCGTTGGAAGCGTTAATTTAACCCCCCCCACCCACGCTGCGAGACATGGCCGCCCTAATTTAGCAGGGAGAGGAGTGCAGCGAAGGGATGGGACCATGGTCACAGGGCTGGGTGGTGGCAGGAGCTGGAACAGCAGGGGACACGGGGTGGGAAGGGAAACTGAGGCACGGGCAGAGCCAGGTACGCAGCCACGCGTTACCTTCACTGCATACTCCTTGTTGGTGATGAGGTTGACACAGGACTGGACTCTGGCATGGGCCCCTTCCCCGAGCACCTCCTCCTGCAGCTGGTAAACATCTGGCAGGGGAGAGGTCGCCTCAGCCTCCAGCAGGGAGGATGGAGTCCTCAGACCCCGTGGGACATTGATGCTGTCCCTTCTCCCGGGCCTGTCGCCAGCCCTGGGAACAGCAGGAGGGACCCGCTCCTGCCCAAGCACGCCGCTCACCTTCGAACCTGCCGGAGAAGCTGTCGGTGGCTCTGCAGCGCTTCTTCTTCTTGTTCCTTTTCTTGGCATCAGGGATGTCAATGGGTTGACTTGAAGGCATGTCTGCACCAGGGCAAAGCCACCCGCGTCAGTCCCGCGGGGACAGCCCTGTCACCCGGCCCTCCCCAAAGCCTTCAGGGTGAGGCGAGGGGACAACGTCCTGGGACGCAGCCACGCACTGCTCACCGGGACGGGACGGGCACTCGAAGTTGAAGACAGGCTCCAGGTGGTTGGACTGGTCGAACTCCAGGTCGAAGGGGTTTTGTCCCTGCGGGCAACAGGAACATGAGCGAGGTCCCGGTACAGATGTGGCCTCCACCACACTCCTGGCTTCAGCACCCGCGCTGCTCACCCATTCCCACGGGACCCCAGCACACGGTGCTGCTGCCCAAGGGAGGAGAAGGAGGGCAGCAGGGTCTGACCATGGCTCCCAGTGGAGATGGTGCTAGGGCCACGTGCACCACACCATCCCCAAATCCGGGGCAGCCAGCATCATACCCACAGGCACCTGTAACCCACGGCACAGGACCAGACCACAGCTGACCCCCCAGCCCAAACCCTGGTGCAGGGCAGGGGAGAGGCTGCCTCCATGACCCCGAACCTATCACAGCACCCAGCCAAGATATCAGGACCCCAGTTCCCCACTGGGGCAGTGACAGCGGGGTGGCACCCAGCTGGCGAGGCGAAAAGGCAGCGGCCTCGGCGGGGTTACGAAACCTGCTCAGGCAGAGGGGGGCAGACAGCGCCTGGCTCCCAAACCCGCCCTGGTGCCAGCCCCGCAGGGAACACGACCACACTGCCAGAAAGGGCCAGCAGCAGCCTGCTGGCTCCTGCAGGGTCCTCCATGGGGGGGGCACGTGTACCCCCACACTGAAAATCCAAATCTGCAAAACGAAGCATCGCCCTGGGCAGCCAGCCCCCCCTCGATGCTGTGTACCACGGCCTCAGCATCAGGGCCTCAGTGTGCACCCCCCCAGCCTTGCCAAGCGGCACCGTGGGCAGGATGAGGCCACCCGTGCCGGCTGCCGCAGCCTCGGCACACAAAGGTCTGGGGGATGGGGAGCGACCGCCGAGCACCAGCTCCATCGCACGGCCGAGGTGTCCCCCCCGCGGCCCCGGCCATGGGGCCGGGGGGGGGGGTGGTGAGTGAAAACCCAGCCAAAAGCCTTAAAAGCAGGATTAGGTGTCAGCTAAAATAACCCGGGCAGGTTGCAGATGATCTCCCGGCATCCCTCGAAGCGCTCACAGCCAAACTAAACAAAGATCCCATGCAGCCCCAGCCCCGCGCCCAGACAAGAGGCAGCATTGAGAGCGGCGGGGGGGGCGCAGGATCCATCCCCTCCTGCACACCCCGACCTTGACAGCGGCCGGGACGGACGCGGGGTCACCGCCGGGATGGGTGCGGGGGTAGGACGGTGCCCGGCCGCAGCCGTGCAAGCAGGGACGTGCGCTCCGTGCTGCCAGGATCCGGCCCTCGTGCAAGACTCTTGCACGACAGGTCCTGCCGCAGGGCCTGGTGGCTGCCACACTCCCACCTGTGTGCCCGGGGTGTCACAGCCCCGTGCCGCAGCTTGACACCCCCACCGGGCTATGGGACACGGAGGGGAGCGGGGACGCCTGCTCCACGCCCACCCCAGGAGCTGAGCTGCACCCCGGCACCACAGCAGGGCAGGATCCGTCCCCCTGCGGCTTTGGGGCAGTGGGACCGGGGCTTCTTCCTTCCTCCAGGTGCTTTTGGGGGCAGTGTGGGGGCGGCTCGCCCCCCCGGCAGGTGTCGGGGTGTCCCGCAGCGCACTGCAGCGAGCAGGATCCGGCCCTGCCCACCCCGGCCCCAGCATCACGGCCCGGCCCCCCCGGCCCCCCCCCGCGTTACCTTGAAGGAGCGGTGGAACCCCTGGATTTCCGACTTCTTCTGCACCATCTTGCGGCGGGGGGGGGCGGCGGGGGGCGGCGTTGCTGGTACAAAACGAGGGGACGAATAAAAACTGGGGGGGGGGGGGGGCGGGAAGGGGGAGGACGGGCAGAGCTGGAGAGGAGCCTGGGGGGTGGCTGAGACCTGCGGAGAAAGAAGGCCGGGGGGGGGGGGCGGAGGGGGAGGAGAAAGGGGTCAGAAGGGTCTCACCCCCCCCCCTGCGTCCCCCCCCCCCGACCCCGCAGCCCCCCCCCCTGCTCACCGGCGCGGCCCCGCAGAGCCGCCGCTGCTGATGGTAGCGCAGCCCGCACCGCCGCCCGCTCCGCTCCGCTCCGCCGCCGGGGGGGGGACGCGGCGCCGCCGCCCCCGGCTCTTTTATAGCCCCGGCCCCGGCCCGCCCCCCCGGCCCCGCCCCCCAAGCCCGGCCCGCCCCCCCCCGCCGGGACCCCCCCGCGCTGCACCCGCGGAGCAAAACAGCCCCCCCCGGGCACCCCCTGCTGCACCAGGGGCACCCCGCCGGCACCCCCCCCTCCTGGGCACAGGGACTGAGCCCCCCCCCGGGCACCCTGCGCTGCTCCCCAGGGACAGGGAACACCCCCCAGCTGCAGGGACCCCCCCCAGGTGCAAGGACACCCCCACAGGGGCAGGAACCCCCCCCTTCTGCAGCCCAGGTCGGGGGCACTGCCACGGGGGACCCCAGGGATATGGGTGCCTCCTCCCCCACAGGGCCCCCCCCTCATGCCACGAGTGGGGCCGTGCTCAGCACCAGGCCTGCATGGGGGGGGGAACAGGCACAGGGTCACGGCCCCCCCCTAATCCCCACAGGCCACCAAGGCCCCTCAGTGGTGTGGGACAGGGGGGGGCTCGCTAGCGGGGACCTCCCAACTCCACTCTTGGTGGCACTATGGGAGGCCGGGGCTGTGTGTGTGTCCCCATGTAAGTGTGCCCCCCCTGTGTCTGTGCCCCCCCCCCTTCTTGCATGTGTGGCCCCCCCCCGCTGCGTGACGCCAGCCGGAGCTGAGAACAGACGCGCTCGTTGCGCCGAGCAGCAGCGCAGGGCCCAATGGCTGCGGCACCGCGGTGCATGACTTCACCGCCCGCGCCGCGCATTGGCTGCACGCCCGCCACCGCCGCCATTGCGCACCCAAGGGGCCCCCCCCGGCCCTGTGCTGCTACCCCCCCCGCCCCGCAGCCCCCCGCCGTCATGCTCGCCCCCCACCCCGTTTCCTTCCTCCTCCTCCCCCTCGTCCCATTGGGGATGTTTTGCTGCAGCCCCAGTGCCACCGGTGCTGGCCCGGCTCGGGGCCACCATGGTGGGGTGACGGGGCCCCCACCACCCTGCTGTGGGCCCAGACCCTGCAAATCAGCAAAATTCCCTGGTTTTGGCAGGCCTGGGCTGCCCTTCCCATGTCCCACCCTCCAGCAAAGCAGATGGGGTGAAGCAGACACCCTGGATCTCAGACCGCTGCCCTGCTAACAAGGGGTCCCCAATTAACCCAAGCTGGTGCGGGGAACAAGCAGGACTCGGGGGGATATAGGGGATTTGTGGGGTTTTGCCCTCTGAGGCTTGCAGAAGGGACAGGGGATGGAGCCACCGGGTGCGCTGGCTGCTGGCACCCGTCGGGCGGCTCCGGTGCAGGCAGAGGAGCCACATGCCTCCCAAATTGCTCACGCTGCCATGTAGGTCACCCGGCTGGTAATGACAGGGTGGCAGCGCTGGCACCCACAGCCCTAGCAGGGCCACCCGCGGGTGCCTGGTGCGGTGAGGACACCTGGGGACACCCAGGAGCTCGCCCAGCCCATGGGAACCCATTGTCATGGGGGGCAGGAGCAGTGTGTGTGTGCTGCGTGTGCTGCGTGTGCACGGCGTGCATGCTGTGCCCTGTGTGCGCCCTGTGTGCTGCATGTGCACGGTGTGATTAGCGTGCACTTGCTGCATGTTCACTGCATGCTCTTTGCATGCTCAGTGTGCTCTGTGCATGTTTTGGTGCATGCTCTGTGTGCTTGTCACGTTGTGTGACCTCTGCTTGCTGCATGCTTGGTGCACACTGTGCTTACCATGCACTCACTGCACGCTCACTGCACACACCCTCCATGCTTGCCACACGCACTGCACGCTCATTGTTCACTCCTTGCATGTTCCTGGGCTCACTGCACAGTCACTGCATGCCCGCTGCATGCTTGCTGCACGCTCTCTGTGTGCTGTCTCCCGAATTCTACCTGACCCACCAAAGGCCCCAACCCACTCTGAGGCCTAGAGCGATTTGGGGCTTTGGCTTGGGGACATCCCTGCACCCCTGCTCCCACGGCTGCAGTGCTCACAGGGGTCCAGCAGGAGTGGTGGGGGCAACGCCGGTGCCCTTTCAAACTGGAGCTGGGGTGGAAAGAAGCAGCAGAGTGCAAGGGGCTGCTTCCTCCAGCTGTGGGCGAGATTTGCAGCCAGGCATGACGAGAGCATCGGGGCTGGGCTGCAGGGGCAGGGAGCAAGCAGCACCCATGGGCACGGGGGGCCAGAGGGGGGCGAGCAGGACCAGGGGTGCTGCCGTGCGCCCGTGCTTCGTGTGCTCCATGCTGCAGCTTTGGTGCTGTCACCCAAGGGAGATGCACGCGTGCTGCAGGCTGGCGTGTGCAAAAGCACAGGCATGTGTGTGCAAGGGCAATGCAGGAGGTGGGCAGAGCATCACCCTGCCTGGGTGCTTGCACACACACACACACACACACACACACACGTGTGCAGCTGGCACATATGTGCACACACACACGTGTGGCCTCTCCAGGTGCATCCCTGTGAGCTGCATGGCCACCCAAGGGCTCACGTGCACACCAACACATGTACATGCACACTCACACACGTGTAAATGCTGCAGTGGAGAAAACCCAAATTTTCACAGAATCACAGAATTTCTAGGTTGGAAGAGACCTCAAGATCATCCAGTCCAACCTCTGACCTAACACTAACAGTCCCCACTAAACCATATCCCTAAGCTCTACATCTAAACGTCTTTTGAAGACTTCCAGGGATGGTGACTCCACCACCTCCCTGGGCAGCCCATTCCAGTGCCTCACAACCCTTTCAGTAAAGAAATTCTTCCTAACATCTAACCTAAAACTCCCCTGGCGTAACTTTAGCCCATTCCCCCTCGTCCTGTCACCAGGCACATGGGAGAACAGGCCAACCCCCACCTCTCTACAGCCTCCTTTAATGTACTTATACAGAGCAATAAGGTCACCCCTGAGCCTCCTCTTCTCTAGGCTGATGCATTTTGATGCATTGGAGGCCTTGGACAGGGCTTGGTGCTGCTGGGGACCGGGCGCATGCAGGCAGCAGAGTCGTGCTCTGCAATCGGCCAAGGGAAAACAGGAAAGCGAGCGGGGCCGTGCCGGAAACCGGCTATTGTTGGGAGCGAGGAGCGAAGGGAGCCTGAGTCACGGGGGAGGGACGCCGCGGCCACCCCAGCCTGCTGGGCCCCATCGGCTCCACTGGGGCCGCACGCTGCCGCCCGGTCCCAGCGTGGGCAGAAGTACCAGGAACCCCGCTCCTTGCGGGGCTTCCTCCTCCCCGCGTCCCATTGCTCCGGGTTGGAAGACAAATCCATTTTCCCTGCGTTCTTTCCCTGGCGCAAGGAGGTTAGTCCAGATTTCCTCCCCTGAAAGCAGGAGGATTTCGAGCCTTGGCTGCGTTTCAAAATGAAAAATCTTGCAAAAAAAAAAAAAAAAAAAAAAAGGAATTTCCTGCCGGGCAGAAATCTGGAGGTTTGACTCTGCTGTTGCTGGTTCTGCTGTGGGGCAGGCAGGGAGGGGATGGGGACACACGCATGTATCCAGCACACATGCACAGATACAGCCAAAGCTGAGACATTTCCTGGCTGCTTCAGCTACCTGGGGACAAACCCCACATTGGGCTTCCCGACTCCTGCTTTGCACCCACGCTTTGGGGCTGCCTCCCATGTAGGGACCCCACAGCCAGGGGCTCCCCAGCTATGGCAGAAGTTCTCCTTCCTGAAGACCCCTCACAGGCCTGGCTCCGGGCTGGCACTTGGACTTGGGGAGGGGGACGAGGAACGGAGGCCATGCCTCAGTTTTTCCAGCTGGAAGAGGTGCCACGGGGTTGAGGAGAAGCCGTAACCCACAGCCAGGCAGCACCACAGAATCACAGAATTTCTAGGTTGGAAGAGACCCCAAAGGAAGGCACAAATACCTACCAGAGAGGTTTCACCCCAAAAAGGTCTTCGAGCAGGGATGCCAGCCTGTAGGGAGCGTTCCCATCCGGCAGCGTCCCCAGCTCCATCACATTGAACTGGTCAAAACTCATGGGACACAGAGGTGCTGACTGCTGGGCTGGCTCTGGCACAAGCGTCCTGTGGAAGATGGACGATCCCAGCTGGGCCGTGGTCGATCCCCAACCCCTGCGGGGACTGAAGAGGCTGGGCGCAGGCAATACGGTGCGGTGCAGGAAGCACCGGAGGGAACGATGCTGGGGGGGGCAGGGGCATTGCGCCTTGCAGGGCTCTGGGCAGCCTCGGGGTTTTCTTACCTCTCAAAGGAGTCCCTTGGGCTCTCTGCAGGGGTGCCCCCAGCGCCACCCTCAGTATGCAGCAACCTCCGTGATCTGCTTGGGGTGGGGGTCAGCAACGTGCTTGCCTTGCAGCTCTGCCCTGGCAATGCTCCCAGCGCAGCTAAAGCACCACGGAGCAGCAGCAAATATCCCGCATTTCAGCCAGGGCCTGGCCGGTGCCGTGCCTCCCCCTGGGCTTCGCTGCGTCGCCAGCAGCTGCTCCCAGAGGGGCTGAAGCGTTTCGGAGCCTGGCAGCACACTCTGCAGCACCTTCCCTTTGTGGAGCTGCTGCTTAGGGAGGCAGCGGTGGCCGGGAATGTTTCCCTATCCTCATCCAGTGGGGACATGGCCTCCAGCACCCACCCGGGGTTTGTCTGGACCTCATGGGTGTCCCCTGAGCACAGGTTCAGATGCATTTGAGAGAACCCCAGACCCTGCTCCCCAGGAGCTGGTTTCTGAGGGCTTGTGCAATCCCTGTCTCTTATCACCAGCTTTGGAAACCAGGGGCCAATTTGGTTAAAACTGGAGAGGAGCTAGAAAGGAGGCCCTACTGCACTCCTGAGCTGTTGTGGGGACTGGAGGAGCTCTGGCTCAGGAAGGAGAGGGCACAGGGCAGCGGCCTTGTCCTGCTGCTCCCAGGACATGCCATGATCGTTTCTTCCAGACCAGTAGGTGATCCCATGCCGAGCCAGGGTTGTGAACCATTTCCCTTTGAACACACGGCTACCGCAGGCCCCTCCGCACTGTGCTTGGCAAAGCAGCCCAGGGCCAGGCAGCCGTGCCTGCGGCAGCTCAGGGGCTGCTGCTGTCCGTGTTTATGGGAAGGGTCAGCCCCACTCAACCCACAAAGCCCACCCCTGCCATGGGGGAGAGCTGCAAATCTGCTCTTCTCTGGGCCCTCAAAGCATTCCCAACTCCTCTGCCTGCACCTCACCAGCACCAGGGAGACAAGTGATAAAATTACTGAGCCACCAAGGTCAAATTACTGAGCTCAGCCCTGGGCACACGCAGCCCCCGCGCCTGCAGGCCCAACCCGTTTGCACTGGGGCAGCTCCCGCGCACGAAGGGGTAAACACGAGGCCCCCGCAGGGCGAGATGAAAGCAGGGGAAAAGGCGGAGGCAGCAGCTGAGAAAGGGCTGTGCAGGCTGCGGCAGCTCTGCTGACTTGTCTGGGCAACATCCTGCACCGCTGCACGCCGACGAGGACGGGCACGGCTGCAGTGGCATCGATGGCCCCAGCCACCAGCGCTGGGGGCTCCCAGTGGGTTTGTGCCACTTGGCTGTGGGACGAGGCCTCGCTTGGGTGCAGGCACTGGGGGGCTCAGCCCCACGCTGGGTCTGGCCACGGCCCCGCTGCCCCCTCTAGTGGCACCCAGCCTGGAGGGGACAAGCACAGCACCCACACTGCTGGAAGCGAGAGCCCCCAGCCTGAACACACAGCCCTGGGGTACGGTGACACTGCACAGACACAGCAGGACCCCGCAGCCTCCTGGGGTAGCTGTGGCACCCACACACTTGGCCCCACAAATGAGCAGGGCTTGGAGCAGCTGGGATGCAACAGGAGGAATCAAAACTTGCAGCAGAACCAGGAACTGGCACCTGGGATCTTTTAGCAGCTCTGCACTGCACTTCCTGTGGAGTCCCAACACCCTGTGTTTGTTTTGCTGATAGAAAGCCTCTGACGAACATGCAATCACGAGACATTTAGCAATCAGAGCGTGCTATGTAAATACAGCATAATTTATTGGTTTCATGTCAGAGAACTATAGTGGTATTTGTACGCGTGTCCTAACGATAGCACAAGAAACAAGAGTCATGTATATACAGAGATTCCAGGACACAAAAAAGAACTTTCTAATGCAGAAGTGGTTAGTGGTAGTTTGGTCACTGTTCACAGAAACCTTTTCTCTCCCTGTAAACCCTGCTCCCTGCTCTCCCCTTGATCCTAGGTAGCCCAATCTACCTACCTCGGGGGACTGCCAGGCTCTGGCCAGGCAGCAGAGCTCTTGTGCAAGCAGGAGGCAAAGCCCCTGGCTCTGGCTGCCCATCAGACACTTTGGTTAAGAGGAGACATGTGGCAGAGCAAGGAAGCGCTGCTGAGGAAGAGAGAAGGTTTAGTACCCTAATGGAAAGCAGAAAGTGGTCCACATAGAGCCTGTAAGCAAGGCTGGAGAGCAAGCAGCCTGGTTCCTCAGTAGGGTCTGCGTACCGCGAGGAGAAAGGGAAGTGCAGGTGTTTGAGATGCCAACTTCCCCATGCTGGTCCCAGCGCCTTCCCTCTGCTCATTCCCACCAGGCGCGGGCCCGCTTGTCCCAGTGCTGCCAGTGCCAATCCTGTCCCCACAGGGCAGTACAGTGGGAGCAGCTCAGCTCAGAGCTGGTGCAAGAGGCAAGAGCAGATTCACAACACGAGCGCTCCAGCACAGCACAACTGCAGGTTAGATCAGCAGCAGCAGCTCTGGTCTGGCCATGAAAGAAACCCAAGTCTGACTTCTTTCACAGAGAAAGAAAGGCAGGGCAGGCCTTGGGGACAGGATGCCAAGTGCAGGGTGAGCATAAAAGCAGTTCTGTCCAAAAACTGACCGCACAGCCAGCGGAAGAGGTGCCGGAACCAGACAGCTCCTTGTGGTACCCCAGAGAATCTGTGTGCACCAGCACTTCTTCCCCAATGCCCACACGTAACCTCCCTTCACATTTAGGAGGTGGAGGTCCAGAGGAACGTACCGCTTCCATCCCAGCGCCAGCTCCACGGCATGGCTCTACCTGGCGCACCTGGCTCGGCTCCTGGTGCCACTGCAGTGAGGGGGCAGAGGAGAGGCAGCACAGGCTGGCTTCTCCCTCCTCAGAGGACGAACATTCCCACCAAGTGGCCAAAAATACTTTTTTTTTTTTTTTATAGAAATAACTATAAAAAAAACTAGTTTATCTAGAGCATCTTTAAAAAAATATTCCTGCAATATCACAGTTTTACATTGAAACTCATTAAAAATATATAGATTTCTTTAAGAAAACGTCTCTGTTCTCCCCTTGATTCATGTCTCCAATGCAGGAGTGGGACTCTGCGTCCTCAGAAGAGATGCCGAGGTGAGAGCAGGACGGTCTGATCTCAGTGGCACATCCGGGAGGTCATTTCCTTCTGTCAAAGGGACATGACAAGGAACCGTGAACTAAGATCCAAACTGCCAGGTGAAGGTGTGGATGAAAAAAATCTCACCTTTGTTCAGCTGGAAGTACCCTTCTCAGACACGCGGTGACACTGTCACCGAGCACTCCAGGTGGGGCAGGGCTGTGCTCCCCCACCACTCCCAATCCTGGGGCAGGAGGGACACCTTCCACTGCCCCACAGCTCTTCAAATTCTACAGCTGTAAGCAGCTGAGCCAAATGTCACAGCTACCTCTTAGGTTTACCATGTCACACCCTCCATCCTGTAGGCTCCTTGTGGTGGTGGTGCCCTTGTTCTTCAGGATGGGCAGTAAGCACAGAGAGGGGACTTTTGCTCATCCCTCCCCATCCTGGATGGTGAATGGGGCTGAGCTCAAACACCACGTGCAGACAAGGCAAGCTGGCTGCCCGAAACACAAGGAGGTTGCTGGAGAACAACTCATCTTCCCCCAGCTGATGCCCAAATAACCCTGCTTAGCTCTACCTGCACATCCCAGCTCCCATCTTCCTGACTGCCAAACTGCGAGGCCGACCCATGGCCTCGATTCCAGTGGATTTGAGAGGGCAACCGTGACACCTCCACCCCCAGCCCACCCCTTCTGCACTCACTCCGAGACTCACCAGTGGTTCCAGCTCCTTGGTGTCTATTAGGTTGAACTCTTTCACAAAGTAGTAAAAGTGCTTGTAGCAGGTGTTCACGTGGGCTTCCGACCCCATCTGGGTGATCCTGTCAAAGTGGTGGATGTAGACATGGACAAAGACTCGGAAGAGCCTGGAGAGAATCTTCTTCACCACCGGGAGGAAGTTCTTGGGGAAGGGAGTACCTGGGAGGGGAGACAAAGCCATGAGAAGCTTCACAGAAGTAGGAATGGGTTCCTCAGGAATAAAATAAGTTCTTCTTGATATAACAGGTACATTTTGAGACAAAAGGGAGAGAGTTCTGTCCAAAGTAATTTCCAGTTCCCCTCTCCTTTTTCCTTTCCATTTTGGGTCAGATTTTTCAAAGCATCAGTTTGTGACAGTCCTGCACACCATCAATTGCTGTGAGCAGCTGAGAGCTAAAAGCAGGGGATCACCATCAGATTCCCACCACCTGCTTCAGTCCGAGAGTTTTCTTCTACTCCTACTTGGCACGTTTACATAAACAGTGCAAAATATTACTAACTACTGAGCTCTTCTCCAGAAGCAATTTCCCCAAAGAAAGCGTCAGAGATATCCCCTGCAGTTATCTCACAATTTGATAGGTCTTTAGCTCTTCGGTTAAAAATTAAAGATATTTGGGTCCCCTGTAAAGGCACCAGTGGATAAGCCTGGTCTGAGTTCACTGGGATTTGTTTAGCCAGGGCCTGCAGCAAAGCAGCCTGGCCAAGTGGCCAACTCACAGTATTAAAGTTCACACAGGAACTTTAATGTTTCTGGAGGAACAAGGATTAGTGAAACCCTTTCAACACCCTGCAGGAACTGGTATCAGGTAAAAGCAAAGCTGAGGACAACAACTCCACAACCGTCCTGCTGCCGCAAACTTGTCTTGCCTCCCTGAACAAAAACACCCTATTTATAGTCCCCAGAGAGTTTTACAGAACAGTCCTAAATAAAGGCAATGCACCCTCCTGGGTGCCAGGAGGAACGGATGGGGAGGATTTCAGTGCTTCGGCTGCCTGAAGGACCAGCTCTTCACAGCCCTGCTTGCACACGGTTTAAGCAGTGCTTTGGCAGGAGTAGAAGAGTCCCGTGGATGCAGATGCATCCCAAACAGAGGCCAATCGCATCCTGCCAGAGTCCCGATGGCATAAATGTGGTGGCAGGAAGGAGGGAGCCGAGAAACGCCTCCTCCAGCCCTGCCTCTGCAGACACTCCACCTGCCCCACGGGGGGAACAAGGCTGCGCTGCGACAGGGGCTGCATGCAGGGGCTGGAAGGCAGCTCCTGGAACCCCACTTGCACCAGGGCTCCAGCATCACCCCAGGTCCCCAAGGGCCATGCAGAAGAGCCTGGCAATAGCCCAGGGCTGCTCTGGGAAGGCAAGGAGCTGACCCTGCCACAAAACACCCCAGGGCTAACACTGGAGCAGTGACGTCCCCCCTGCCACCGTACACCTCTCTGCTGCATCTGGTCTTCGGCATTCCAGAAAGTGGGAGCTCTCAGTGTCATCAATCATATTTACCTAATGCTTTGGATACCGAACTCACCACAAAAACAAACAAACAAGCAGCTTTTTTGTCCCAAAGTGAGTAAAACTGTATTTGGGATTGCAGATTCAGTTGTCTTTGGTCAAATTCTCCTTTCCATCACCCTGGCAATAGATAAAAACACCGCCCCTCCCTCCACGCACGTGTCAGCATCCCACCCAGCTGCAGCAAACAACTGACTGCATGCCAGTAAGCACCGAGCTAGAAAGGGCAGAGTCAGCTAATGCCAGCCTGCAACAACAAAGAGGCTAATTAGGGAAACATGGCCACCATCACCAGGCCAACGCAGAGCACGTGCACTGAACCCACAGCAATCAGCTCGAAAAGAGCTGTCCTACAGGAGACCACGTCCAGCAGGAACTGCTGACGGTCATGCCAGAGACTGGCTTTTTAAGAGCAGCCTCTTATTTTTGTTCCCTTCGTTTGGCTTGGCTTTGCTTTCCTCGAGGTATCCACGACTTCAAATGAGATCTCTACAGCTCTGGGTATTTTAGCACTCAAGAAGAGGCCTGAAGTTCCTCAGGTGCTTGGAAGAGCTTATACACTGCCGCCCTCCAAGCAGCCCAAAAAGCAATAGCTGTACCACAATGGTGACCTGAGCAGCAGTGACCACGAACAGCATCTCCTGGACCAGGACCTGAGGGCTCAAAGGAGAAGGCTCTGCACTGGCCTCCCTCCCCACAGCTGCAAACAGAACCCAACTCACCGACGTTAGTGGGAAAGATGTCCTCGTTGTTGATCTGTACCTCAATCCAGTCCATCAGGAGGTTCATGTACTGGGGAGCAGACAGGGCCGTGGGCTTACGGTACTTGTGCTCGTCCTGCCATCTGTACTCGTACTTGGGCCCCCCAGACATGACAGGGCAGGACTGCTCTGTGCAATAGTCACTGATGGTGCCGTAGATCAGGTTGATGCGGTTGAAGAAGTCCACCACGTGCACGGCCACCCAGTCGTTCTGCTCCTCTCCTGGTGGCAGCTGGACGGCCACCTTCAAGTCCAGGCCAGCGTTGAGCGAGGCTTGGGCTTTCTTGTGGAGCTCGAACCGCTGAGTCCCCGGCTCAAACTTGCGCTTGGGCCGGAAGGTTTTGTCTTTATTGAACACTTGCTTTAAAGCATGGGACATCTTTCTTCTCTTCTTTTTTTTTCCAGGCCCGTAGCGATGACAGCTGCAGACACAGAGCTGCTGGGCCACTTCCTGGGGCAGGGCAGCGAGGACTCTGATCTTCACAGAAACCTCCTTCTGCTCATCTGGTCCTGATCTGCAATGCAGCACAGAAGGGCAGCGATTAGGAGCAGCTCTCTCAACAGGAAACCTGGTCTAAATCCCATAGGAAGAGATCTGGGATACCATCTGGGCCCTCGCCCCCGATCTGAGCAGAGCAGGGGCAGCCAGCACCAGCTTTTCTTTTCTTTTCTCTCCTCCCCTCCCAGGAGAGTCCGGAGCAGAGGAACAGTCCGGCCATTGGGGGCGAGCTGGGCTGGATCAGGAGCCCCCGCGAGCCCCTCCGTGTGCTCAGCATGGGGATAGGGAAGCCAGGAAGGCCCCCAGGAAAAGGGTGAGATGAGAACAAGACAGCAGAGAGGGACAGGGCCAGCGCAGGAGATCACATCAGCGCAGTGAGACTTAAAGCCTACCAAAAGGAGGAGAAACTCAAGCACCAGCTATTCAGGTGGAAAGTAGCAAAGGTTTAAGAAGGTTTAACGTTGAGTTAGGCTTCACTTGAATCAGATCCTTCACCTATGCTTTTTTCCCCCCTCTGCACACAAACCTACTCCAAAGGTAACTTTATGACATCCTGCTACTGAGCCCAGCTCTGCTGCCAGACGTATTCTAACCAAATACCAGTCTGACCAGGAGCTGCGTGCGCTGTCGCAGCACTAAGGACAAGATGAGAACAGGCTGAGAGAAATGAGAAGTTGATGCAGCTCAGGCACCCATACACTCAGTATCCTGAAATAGCACCAGCTTCAAAGACAGCCACAGGCTCTTCTGCAGGTGCAGAGAGCTCAACTGTGCTCCTCCTTTCAGCTGAGCTCACTCCATGTTGAAGCCTGGTTGAAAGCTCCAGGACTGGGAAAGCTTGTCTTCCTCTTCCAGTCTATGAAAACGAATCGGCTCTGAGAGGCTGAGACACAAGTTAAGATCTTGAAAGGATGCTGACAAGAAACACAGCTCTGTTTATCTGTAGCTAATTATACCTCCTTTGTTCCCACATCCATTCCTTCACATAATTTGTGTCAAGCAGCTCTTTGATGGAAACTCAAGGCAGAAAATTGTACCAAAAATATTGTTTTGCATGTGTTGGACAGAGAAATAAAGCAACAGAAACTCAAGCTCATGGACTATAGAATGCGGCAAATAACAGTTTCCATAATTTTCTAAGAAAACAAGCAAACAAGTCCCTTCCACCAAGCAGAAAACCTCCTTAGCTGTAGCGTTGTTTGAATAGGTAAATAACACCCCCAAACTCTGGCAAGAAAAATTTCAAATTCGAGTCAAGACTACCTTTCTGCAATCCAGCCCATCTTTAACAGATGCTGCATCATGCTTATCAGCATTTCTTCTCTGGAGAGAGATTAAAGGACTTAAACCAAAGCCTCTTGTTCTCTTAATGACAGTAAGGAAAAAAACCCAAACCACCCCAGCTTGCCCCGTAAGAACACGCTTGCCTTTCCCTAGCCCTTCTCCTGCAGGAAGGGGCTGAGCCAACTTTTCTGTACAGAGACCAAGCTCTGGCTGTGACACAGGCCGTGACCACAGCCACGACACGCACTGAGACAAACGGAAAATATTTTCTTGTGGTTCAGCAAGATTCACCCTGCGTCGAGTGAGCGTGACGGCGCCCACGCTGACGCCACAGGCTCCTTGCAAGAAGTGCTGCCGGAATGGCTGCTGCTGTGACCCTACCCAGCTATCACACCAGAATCAAAAAGAAAAAAACAAAAAAGAAGAAGAAAACCTCCAGAAAATGCGACCTTGAGAAGCCTCTGATTGCACCGCAGACTCGGTGAGAGGAAGTAGCAAAGGGGATGAAGAGAGATGTCTGAGCAAGGAGCTCCGGTTACCCAGAGCTGTGTCACAGCCTGGCCACATCCTGCAGTTCGGTGCGGAAGCGCCGGGGCTGCACCCACCCCATCATGCCCCAAAGGCGCCGATCAGCCCGCACCAGCAATGTGGACAGCAGGTGCTGAGTGTGCAGCTACTTCCAGCAGGAAATCGGTTCCAGAGAAGCACTTGCACGCGATGATATCCTTACACTGGAGGTGGAGAAAGAAATATCCTTTAAACAAGCAGGCAGTAAAGATGGAGGAGCACTGCCTTTCATACAGCTCTCTGGAGGACTGGCAGCATCCTCAGTGTAGTACAACAACTCTGTTCCTACTTGTTTAGGAACTGTCTTAAGAATTCCAGTGGTTCCCCTGGCATCCGTGCTGGGCCCTGCAGCCACAGCCTGACCCGGGCTTGGAAAACCCATCCCTGTCCGGTGAAAGGGAGGGTGGGTTAAAACTGAACAGCAAAGCTGCAGAGTTAAAACAAAACAACAACAAAAAACCCTGCACATGTCAAGAAGCAAACATAGACCATTTTAGACCATTTTCCAGAAGAAATGATCATTTGCACAGGGTGAAGAGAATTTTAATACGGCTTACATGGTATCAAGGCAGCGTCTGCCCTACAAATACATGTAACTTCCTCTTCCTAAGAGACATCATTCTTGAGAGCTGTGGAGCTCGACACAGCAGCAATCATCTTTCAGACGATTCAGCATCTGTCTGAAGGCATTAGCAAAACTAGTAGCTAAGACTTCAAGCAGATTCAGCATATTTAATTATGGTTTTTGAGTGCAAATGAACTAAATGAAGCATTTGGCACTAGAAAAAAAGGAAGAAAAGACAGACCAAAAGCATCACTGACATTGCTTGAAGATGATATCACATGTACAACACCTTCCACAGGCAGGAGTCATTGCTCTGGCAGCACTAGAACACTGTCTTTATGAAGAGGAGAAAGGAAACAGTACAAACAATTAGCACATGGGACATGCAAAGCACCTGAGTGGGATTTGCAAGCTTCAAAGACGAGGAAAAAAATCCCAACACACAAACAAGCCTGCAGTACATTTTGTTTCCTCCTCTCTTCCAGCCAGCCAAGATTACGGCGGACGTCACCGGTGCAAGCGGACCTTGGCCATCCCTCCCACGAGATCAGAGCTGCTGCAAAGCCCTGCGCCGTGGCAGGCTGGCAGGAGCAAAACCACCCCGGCTTCCCCAGAGGAGCGGCGCTGCCGCTGCTTGCAGGAACTGCAGGGACGGGGCTGGGCTGCCCTGGCTGCTGCAGCCGCACAGCGTGGGGCCGGAGGCCTGGCCCTCTCCTCCCTTCCCAACCAGCTCTTATCCCCTTACCCTGCTCCTACAGCTCCAGCCCTAACCCCCATTTCTGCTGATGGTGACCCAGGGCAGCGCCCTTCCTTCCCTCTGCCATCCCTCCTCCCTGCCGCTAGCAGCGGATCGTGCGGTGCTGCCTCATTGTAAAGGCTCAGGGCAGAGGGAGCCCCGGCTCTCCTCGCTTTCACACAGCTCAGAGCAGGCACAAAACAAGGAAAAGAGCAGCCTGCGCCGCAGCCCCTGGAGGCGGCCTCCCAGCCGTGGTGCTGCCCCTGCTGTGGCCCCCCACCCACAAGCAGGGTCCCACGGCGGCTCCATCGCCTCTGAGCGCGCCTCGTGCTCCCCTCCGTCACTAACAGCCTGCAGAGGCGCGTTGGGAAGCTCCTACCTTCGTTTTTACCCTCCTGAAATCGCTCTGCTCGTCTCTGCGACTCCTGTGGCAGGCTCCGAGGCAGAGCTTCCTCCTTTTTGAAAGAGAGAAAAGTTTTGTTTCACGCTGCTGGCGGGGAGGGGCGAGGCTCGTGGCCACTTCCCTCCCAGTGACCCCAGCTCCAGGCAGCTCACATCTTGCTGCTGAGCCCTCGAGTAAATCCCAGCGAGCAACATATTTCTCAAAATAATGAATTCCTCTTATTTCCTTTTATAGAAGCCACGCTGCTGTACCGCAAGATGACACCAAGCAGTACCGATGCTAAACACTTACACGAAATCCTGCCAAAAGTCCCTTCGGGGGCAGCTTATATAACTGCAGCCCTTCAGTGGTGACCCTGTGCCCATCGCCCCCCTCTCTGCAGCCCCCCAGAAGCATGAGGTAAGCAGGGAGCAGGGCCCCCCCCCCACCATCACAGCTCACACAGGGCAGGACACCAACTCCTGTGCCAGTTTGACAAAACAGCCACGGCACATCAGACACATCGAACACTTCCAGGCAAGACTGAAGTTACGGGGCGTGCCAGAGCAGCGAAGCTAGCAAGGTGGCCTCAGGGACCTTAAACAAAACAGTAAAGACGCACACGCACATGGTTTTCATAACTTCCCCCCCACGCTTTCACAAATACCTTCCCACAGCCATTCTGCTCAGTTTCTCAGTAAAAGATGATCCTGGGTTTCTATGATCAAAGGAGAGGTTTTAACACAGAGAGCGAGGATCAGACCAATTACGGCCAGCAGGGCTGGACGGGCACTAATGATGGCAAGTTTCTGTGCCTCTAAAGCAAGTCTGGCAACAAGCAAGACAGCTCATCTTCACCGGATGAGGCTTTCAGCTACTCTTTCGAACAGTTTTACAACACACGGACCAAAAGGTATGCCCCTGCGCTTACCTTGGTCACGGGCAGGAGAGCGAAGCACACCGAGGATTATTTGGGGCAGAACACGAGGGTTTAGGCTCACGGCAGGCACGTCTGACCATTCATAACTCCTGCGAGACGGCGCTTCCACGTAGGCCAGCTTCCTGTCTGGCACGGCGGCCTTGTGGCTGGCCGAGGCAGCTGCCAATGTTTTTCCCAACGCTAATCACCCCCCTCCACACGCTCCGTAACACTGCCCCTGACGGCGCGGAGCTGCGCGCTCCCCAGCCGAGGAGACTCGTGCTGTTATTTGGAAAAGCCAAAATGGAAACCACGCTCCGGAGAGCTGAGCAGAGCCAGGCCAGAGCAGCGCTTCTCCTCTGCAAGGAAACTAAAGGCTGCTGCATGAATGGAGCCAAGAAGCTGCCCTGCAAGTTTCCTTTTTCTTCCCATTTTCTCTCTGCTCGCTGCTGGCAACAGAGGCCAGGAGCTGCTTGGAAGGAGAGGGAGCACAGGGCAGAGCTGGTGCAGCTGCATCGATAACCCCAGCCTGGGTTGTGCACAAGCAACAAGTTCCCTCTGCTGCTCAACAGGAAAATATCCAAATTTTCCAGAAGGAAACTGGTTTAATAGCGGCCTTTACAACACATGGGACAGGGCCACCTAGAAACGCACATTTCAGATGTTAGATTCCCAAGGCTTAGAGAAACAAAGAGCCCTCTATGCTTCACAACAAAGTCTGTTTTAAGAAAGTCCTGCTGGTCATCAGCCACCCCTATACCCTGCAGCTTAAAGCTGCTGCACAATTTAGGAACTCTGAGTAAAAACCATACAAACGCCATCTCCCAGGTACTTCCCGGAACCAGGCTTGCTCGGGGGCAGGACGGTCTCCTTGCACAACTTAAAGCCATGCAAATGTGGAGCCGAGCAGCATTTGCAAGTAGGTAAGAAAAGGAAACGGTGGTATAAAAAGCACGAGAAATGTTCTGGTGGGCTTTCATTGGTAACTTCCTTTTCCCCTTAAAGGCTATGCATTTGGTCAATTTTAACCTCCAGTCAGTTGATAAATTAAAAGGGAAATCCCTGCTCAGCCCCACACGGGTTGGAAGATCCAAGCGAAGCAAGTACTTGTGGTGCCGAGCAGCCGGAGGCACGTATCTTCGGCCGCCACACGCGGGATGCAGGAGCAGGAGGCCAGCATCAGCTGCTCAGCTCGGCGTTTGGGATGCTCCAGCCCACAAAGACACAAGGGTGACAACAGGAGGGACGGCGTGGGCTTTGTGTGACGGGCTCACATCACAGGGAAACACTCACGGAAGGAGCAGGGCCTGGAGGACGGCTTCTGGCAGGGCAGAGGGAAGGCTGCATCGCCCCGAACTTTGCCTGGGAGACGTCAGAGGCTCCAGCACCGCCTGTCCCCACCCGGCCAGCAGCCGCAGGTGGTTCAAGAGCCACATGAGAAAGTCAGCTTCTAAGGTCACCCCTTCTACTTTCCCTTCCCCAACAGGGTCAGAGAGCAGATTCTGCAATTTAAAATCTTCACTTAAAAGCCTAGGAATGACCACAGCACAACAGGAACGTCTCTTAGAGCCTGCATAATTACCGATTTGGGGCCGATTTTCCTGCCTCTTACGTGCCATCTGTATCTCTTGCAATGTCAGAGGCATGGCTGTGTTGGAAGGCTTCCACGGATTGCACTCACACAGCCTCGGACAGATCACGGCTGCGTGTGGAGGCAGAGCTCATCTGCTGCTGGCTCCGCAGATGCTGCCTTGAGCCGACAAGCTGGGTCACGACTCCAGGAGACAGGTTAACTGCACAGACAAATATTTCTAGGATAAACCATACTCCGTGGGTGGCTGACGGCACACTCAGAACAGCTTTTTTCAAGGTCTGCAGGGCTGTATTTTGAAGGAGGCTCGTTCAGGAACACCTTTTGCTGTCCTTCAGCCCAGTTCTGCCCCTCAGCAGGGGACTCATACGGGGCAGCGTGGTATTTATTGAGTCCAGGCCATGAACTACACATTTCTTCCTGCTTTCACGGGTTCTACATGATCATCCCCACTGAGCAGGGGCATTTTTGAACCAGCAGCGGTTTCCTCTAACTTTAGGATCTGCCCAAGCGGCAGGGGTGGCTGATTTGGAGCATGAATCTTGCCTTCGGGAGGTGTCACCCAGGGAAGGGGCCGGGGCATGAGCTGGCCACACAGCCAGCCTTCCCCGCGGCCAGGCCAGTCCCACGGACGAGCGCCACTTCTCCCCACGTTAGCATGATGCTTTTAAAAGAAAGCCGTATTGTTTCCTGCTGAAAGCGGGTGCCCACGAGGCCTGCTCCTCTCCTCCACGAGGAGATATGGCAGCAGCCCAGCACACTAACGTGTCTCCAGGCAGCACAGGCAAGGAGCGAGCCCACTGATGTGGAGTTAGAGATCACCTCAAGACAAACCACATCATAAGACCTCCTGCATACAGTGAGGAGGAAAAAAAAGAAAAAAAAAGGCCCAGACAGCAACCCCAGCGTAAGCCTGCAGTTAAGATCAAGAACAATTACAGTGGCTTTCAGCTTAGTACCGGGTCTTACTCAGCTTCTGCTACCAACTGGAGCACGTATTGAATGGCTCCACCTCATTTTCTGTTCCCCAGAAGCCAGAGCAGAGGCACACAGCCAGGGCCATCATTCACCCAAATCCAGCCCCTACCTGGGCTGGGAGCTGGGGGTCTCCTGCAGCCACTACATGGGTGCTGGTGGCAGGGAGCTGAGGGCAGGCTCCTGACCAGCCTTACGCTGCCCTGCAAGGAGGTCTGCGCTGCCACGGGGTGGGAAGGCAGCCATGCAGTCCCCAAGAGGATGGGGGCAAACACCAAGCACAGTCACTGCAGGAGAGTTGAGACCAGCAGCACTCAAACTCCAGCTGTGTGGGGCCAGCAGCACAAAGGGACACCCATCAGCATCACCATCTTCACCTCTTCTTGGAGAGACTAAGTAACGACAAAGCGTCTACTGACTCCATCTAGACTTCTACGAGAAGTCAAAGCCACCACAGCTGGACGGATGTGCACACTTACAAAGGTTTTCTTATGGCCTTCATCATCCTCATTCCCCCCAGGGGGGTTATTGGGCTCCCTCCCCTCTGCTCCCCGTGCACTTGGTGTTCTCAGAGCAGCAATTCACCCAGGAGCCCTCCATCATTTCCTCACGAGCTGAGCAGCACTATCAGCGCAGCATCAGCTCCAGAGGGAGCAAGAAGCAGACCAAGAGTCGCAGATAACGCTGCCTCCGAGGGGCATCTGGAGAAGGGCAGACGAACATGCAGCCTAAGGTGCGTTCTTCATTGGAAGCATTAGCTGGATATTACGCATTTCTAAAGATAATCTCCTAAACCTCCAGCAAAGCTGGTTATGGATCCACTTAGAGCTGCATTTATGGCTCAAGTATCACAAAATACCTTCCTGCCTTACGAGAAATTAAAACTCAGAAGTTGAATCTTCTCCCAGATCTGAACTCTTGTGGCCAGGACGGGTTAGGTTTTGCAATCTCTTCTCTGACCCCACATGCTTTCACTGCTGACAAGGGAAACATTCTTCCTTTGTGTACTGCGGCCATAGAGATCTCTGGCCCACGTACAGAGAAGCATTAGTTACAAAACACCGTTACGTCAACCCCCAGTCCAACCTCCACAAACAGAGCTAATCGCGCCACTTCGGTCTGGGTGGCACTTCACATCTCATCAATGGAAGGGCCATGTTACAGCCAAACGTGGCCACGAAAGCATCTGGCAAGCAGCTCCGTGACAGAGGACAGCTAAGCCACAAAGAAGGACTTTGCTCGAGATGATGAGCATGCTTCAAGCTCGCTGAGCCCCAGCTGAAGGGACAGGAGAGCCCATTGTCCTTTTTGCCTCTGCCACAGTCAACTGTGCAACCTCAACAGGTTCCAGGAGAACCCCAGATCCTAAAAGTGAGCCAGGCACAGGGAAACTGCTCCATGCTCAGCATCTGGGCCCAGATCCCCTGTGCAAACCAGGAGCATTAGTTTCTGCTTCCCCATCACCAACCTGGCGGGAACTCCCAGCGCTCCTCTCCTCTCTTTCCGGGAATTTAAAGAGGTTCTGAGCCTGCTCGCCTTCCTGGCCAAGTCAGCTTTGCAGGGACGCAACTAAGACAGAAACTGAATCTAAGACACGGAATACAGGATCTAAGAAACGACAAGAGATAAATGCAGAGGTGGACGTGAGGCCAAAGCTCTGTAAAAGAAGCAGAGTGCAAGGACAAAGCACTGAGGACGGCGATAAACAGGTGGCTGGGGAAACCTTGCATCTCCTAGCAAAAAAAAACAAAAAACAACTGCCCTGCAACTTAGCAGAGCAATTCCAGACTGGAAAGGGTTTTAAACAAAGGGATGGAAATGAGGGATGTGTGGCCACTCTTCGGGTCAGAAGAGCCCCCAAGGGAGGTTTCCCAACCACCTGCGACAGGCACCGGACAACTTCACAGCCCCCCTGCCCCCAGGGCTTCCTGCCCTGTCCTTCTCATCCCTCCTGGCGCACGCACCAGATTTCTTTTAAACTGCAGACGGGGGGGGGGATTGAGGTCGGAAATTCGGAGGAAGTTTTTCCCTCAGAGGGCGGCACTGGAGCGGGATGCCCGAGGGGGGGGGGGGCTGCGGCTGTCCCAGGCCCGGAGGCGGCTCCGGGCGGCCCTGCCCAGAGCAGGGGGGTGGAACCGGCTGAGCCCCGAGCTCCTTTTCAGCTCAGGGCGCTGTAGGGACCCGTGACGGGATCCCGCGGCTCTCTGCGGGCAGAGGAGCCCAGGCGGGGCCCGGCTCCTGCGGCCCGCCCGCAGCAGGGGGCGGCGGGGCCGGAGCGGGGAGGGCCGGGGGGGGGGGCGGCCCCTCAGCAGCAGCCCCCCGAGGCCCGGGGCCGGCCGGGAGGCCACGAGGCCGCCTTCCACGCGAGAAAACAAACAAATAAAAGAAACTCGGACCCAGCTCAGACCGCCAGCGGAGGCCCCCCCCCCCTCTCCCCGTGCCCCCCCCCGGCCCCCCCGCACCTGTCCGGCCGCTCTCAGCCCCCCGTGGCCGCCGCTCCCCGCGCTCCTCGGGCCCGCTCCCGGCGGCTGCCGGGACTCCAAGCTCTTAAAGGGGCCGCCCCCCGGCGCGGCGGGGAGGGGAGGGGCCGGGAGGCCGCGTCCGTTTCGTTTTCTTTCTTTTTCTTTTTTTCTTTCTTTTTTCTTCTCGTTTTATGGGACTGGAACCCTCAGGCCCCCAGAGGGAGAAGCAGGGGCAAACCACTGCTGCTGTTAATGATCCCTCCAGCTTTTATTATCCTTTTTTTTCCCTTTTTATCCTATTATCCTTTTTTCCATTTTTTTTTCCATTTTTTTTTCTTTTTTAATCTACCTGTTTAAACTTGTGAGCAGAGGATCCGTTCCCACCTCTGTCACACCTGGAAGCTGGAAAGCGGCAGCAGCCCCGCTGCGGTTCCCAGAGGAAATTCCCAAACCCCCATCGCCCCCAAACCCCCACCGCAGGGGCCGGGGTCTGACTGGGGCCAGCCCGGGCTCCCCAAACCCTTAAACCCCCTCCTGCAGCCCGGGTTTGGCCCTACAAGGTTTTAGGAGCGGCCCCTGAGGGCTGCGAGGTGCTCGCCTCACAGAGGGCACCTGCCCCCGACCCGCCTCAGCAGCGGTGTTTGTTTGGTACCAGGACAGGCCTGTGGGGTGCTGGGAGGAAGGGTCGCTCCCTGGGGAGCTTGAGGTGCCCACCCTTAGCCCCAGCTGGAGATTAAACGGCAGCCAAAGCTGAAGCAAAGCCCCCCAGTACCTGAGAGAAGGGCTTTGGGACCGCAACACCACTGAAGTTCACAAGGGAGCACCAAGCGCCTGGGGCTCAGCCCAATCCCTCAACACACTGTAGAATTTAAGCAACACTACTCAGATCTTTTTCTTTATTTACTTTTCCCTCTCCCTAAAATAGGGTTAAGCCATGGCAGGTGGTGGGAAGTCCTGCTCTGGCTACGAACACGTCCAAGCCAATTCTTCTTTAATGATGCTTAAACGAGCCGTGGGTGCAGCCCCTGCCCTTCCTCCTGCTCCTGGTCACAGGCTGCCACAGCTTCCTAGCCCATGAAATATCTGCACTCCAGGGATTTCCTCTCGCCCCTGTGTGTATCTTGAAAGTTAATTCAAGGAACTCGAGCATCCTGTGAGGAAAACAGGTTGTTGTGGTTCCCTGCACTGTTCAGAGCCGTTTCTTCCACTTGCCTTCCCTTCGAGTAGGTGTGACAGGAGCCTCGGTGCCCTGGCAGCAGGAGGGATTCTCTCTTCACCTGGGCATTCATCCCCTCCGGCCTCGCAGCCCTCCTTGGCCAGCACAGAGCCTCAGAGCATCACCTCAGCTGAGCTTTGCCAGCGCTTATCGGGGACAGCTCTGATGTAATTCATACTTCTTTGTAATTAGCAAAAGCTGGTTATTCTTAGAAACCTTAATGGATTAAATTAGAGATGATATTGATGGAATGAGATGTTGACACAGCAAGCTAATGACATCCTGCTGCTAAACCACCTCTGAAGTGGAGCTGAGTCATGTGCAGAAAGCAGGGCGAAGCAAGCAGCACTCGCTGGCACCTGGTTCAGCCCCAGCCCTGTTTCAGCCCAGGGCCAGATCCGGACCATGAGAAAGCTCCGAGTCCCAGGTGGCTGCAGGCATGTGGTGTCACCCTCACAGCATTTCTCATATTTCTTCCAGCCTTCAGTCCCCTCCAGGGGACTGCAGTCCATGCTAGGCATCCTGCTGAGCACCTCGGTGAAATTACTTATTAAATTATTCATTAAAAAACAAGGAGTCTGGCTGCAGAGCACAGCGCATGACAAAAGCTCACTCACCCTGTTTGGTTCTGCAGTAGAAATGCTGATTCCTGGAGTCCAGGGAAGGTTTTCCTCATTTCTTAACACAGTTATCGTCTGTGTGGTGTGACAGAAAAGCAGCCTGAGGTGCCCTTTAAACACTGGCAAGGCTCAGAAATCAGAAGCAAAATTTTATAGTACCAACTATTTAAACCAATGTTCATAACTTCTAGAAGGAAAAGCCGTCCATGACCTACAGCTGTCTGCCTGGACAAGATAATGTCATCCCTGAAATAACATTCACCACCTGATTGACCTGATGAATTGAAAACAGGATTCACTGTTACTTTCTCAGCCATGGATGAACTCCCTGGCAGTGCAGTCAGGGTGTAGGTGGATGGGATGTTGCAAGCAAATCCCTGCCCTGCAGGGAAGAGACAACAGCTCAGTTTCTCAGCTCGGTTCAGTTTCTCAGCTCAGCAGTTGGGCCTGCCGTGGCACAGCCTCCTCTTGGATTGGGTTTTCTGCACCCTTGTCACAGCAAAAGGGGAACAGAGAAGTGCAGAGCAAATGGTTGAGCTCAGAAAATCCCCATGTCTGTCTGGTTTTCACAGAGCAGGTGCTGTGGTAAAAGGTCAGGGGAAGGGTTGGGGCTGGCCATGAGCAAAAGGGAGAGAGGAAACCTTTTTCCCTTGATTTTAGAGGGCAGCAGTGGTGAAAGAGAAGCAAGGACAGGACAAGACTTGAGGCCTCAGCCACAGCAGCAAGATGTCGGCACAAATGACAGCACCTGGACAAGATCTCCAGCCCTCCACAGGGCTGGTGCAGGATTGTACTGGAATGGAAAATGTGCAGAAGGCACAGCCGCCCTTGGAGGCTTCCATTCTTCCAGAACAGTCCCACTTTCCCATCTCCCTCACTCCCCCTTTTTTAGGGCCAAAAGTGGAAGAGCTGTTTCTGCACTCTCATGCTTTGCTCTTAGCTCGGTTCAACTCGTGCTTGGTCAGGGACAGGTTGCTAGCAGTGATGTGGTCACAGGGGCAGCGCACAGTTGAAGTTTCAAGTAAGAAGGAGAAGTAGCAGAAAACACAGCTGTCAGTTCAAAGGGAAGTTTTTACAAACATTAGAATGAAGGAAGTCAGAGCCAGGCGGTAAGTCCCTGTGAAGCCTAAAACCAAGCTGTGCTAAAAGCACAGCAGTTAGCCACAGCCCAGAGCCTGCAGGTGGATGGTGGGGAGAGCTCGCTCATGCCCTGCACTTAGAGCATTGTTCTACGCTTCTGCCATTTTGCAAGCAAAAACAGGGGGATCTCAGTGCTCTCTGAAATAAGGTGCAGTTCCAGATGTCCCCATTTCTGCCCCAAACTGGCAGCCTTGACCTAAAGCTCATTTCCTATCATTGTTCTTGCAGAGATGCACACAGCACCAGGCTGTGAGCAGGGCCTCCTGCAGCTCCCAGCTGGTGCAGGGCAGCTTGGAGGTCACTACAGAGCCACTGATCCCACGCTGTGTCCAACAGCCACAGGTACAAGATCGCTGCTCCTCAAGGGAGGAGCCAGGGGCAGCTGCAAGCCTGGGGGCTTGGAGCATGCCACTCTCCTTGCACTGGAAGGATGGTGCTGAGCACCGTTTCTTTTACATACTCATTCATAGTATAGTGTGAAAAACCACACTTAAATAGGGACTGATTTTCTGTATCCAGTTGCTCAATGAATGTTGACAGGATGTAAATGCAGAAAGCAGGATACAAGCCCTGCCTTGCTGTTTGAAGCCAGAAGTGCACAGCAGCAGGTTCACTGGAAGCTCCAGCACTGGCCAGTTAAGGTCCTGCAGCTCATTAAATACTTGACATTTGTTCCAAGTGGTTCCTGTTGTTTTGTTGTTGTTTTTCTCCATGCAGACCCTCTCATTTGCAAAGAGACGGATGTTTACTGTTGTTTTCATCCTGTCAGATTTGTGCAGTCCCACAATGCAGCATAGCAAGCAGGCAGCCTCCCTGCAGGCCAACATGGGAATAAAATACAGCGCTCACAGTGCATGCAGAAAGCAAATGACTTGGTGCTTCCTTCTGCAGCAGGAAGCTTATCTCCAGGTAATAGGGCCAACAAGTTAATGCAAGCAATGGATTTTTCTCAGTGCAGAGCTGGAAGCTCCCAACAAAATGTAAAGTGTCAGCTCAGTTTAAAATACAAGAGATAAAGAACAACATCATTCCAGTTTAGCACACTGGAGATCCCTTTTCTGCTAAGGCATGACGTGCACTAGAGCTGTTGCTGCTGGGGGAGCAGGTATGTGACCAGCACCTGACAGGCACATCAGGGAGATGGCTGGCAGGACTCTTCTTCACTGCTGCAAATCCCTCCCCAGCTGATAAAAAAGCAAAAACACAAAACGCACCATCCCATACAATTCTCACATCTTTCACAGCTTTCAGAGATTCCCCTTACCCACCCCAAAGACACAAACCACAAAGACTCAGAGTTGGGGTACATCCAGGTCAGATAACGCTTGCACAACCCTTTCCCTTGATAAACATACAGCACTTGCATATTGTACAACAACTTCACAGTGGATAAATATGAAAAAAATCAATTCCAGAGTTAACCTGTATTATAGTGATGGGCACAACAGCCTTTTGATAAAATGGTTTTGGGTCCATACAAACTGGAAGAGTCTTATAAAATCACTATTTACAAAGCCAAAAATTTAACTTAGTTTTGAAAGTTTATTGGATCATCTTGACACAAAATCATTACAGCAGCTTGTGGTATGTTTTTTTTTTTTTTTTTAAAGGGAATGTTGATAGCAAATAAATTTGTGAATGTAACACATCATACAGTTTCAAAATTCTAGAATCACTGCACAGGATTCCATAAGAGAAGATTCTACATGCTAAAGTGACAGCTTCCATCCATGAATTAAAAAAAAAAAAACACTAATTGAGGAACATTATCCTTTAAGACAATTTTAATATGTTCAGTTTCTAATACACAAACTGGCTAACCAAGGGAGGTTGACCAATACCAAAGACTAACACTTCACCAGCAGTGAAGCCTGCTGCAAATGAATTCCTGCAGCAAACAAGTGCTGTCAGAATACAAAGCTGGTCCTAGCAATAAAACCACAGTAGAGCCTTTTCAAGGATACCCTAATATGGGAAGAGTGTAAAGAGCACAATACACACTTAAAGTACAAGACATTAACCCTAAGGATAAGAGCGACACTTTATCCTGCTCCCTACATAGGGTTTTAGTTCAGTTCCCACTGGGCATTGCTGATACCTGTTGGGGTGGTGCTGGGGAAGGGCAGACAAGCCCAGCTCCTC